AATATGAGGAGAAACTTCTTCATGGTGAGGGTGACAGAGCCCTGGAAGAGGCTGCCCAGGGAGGGTGTGGAGTCCCCTTCCTTGGAGATCTTCAAGACCCACCTGGATGCTCCTGAGGAACATGCTCTGACAAGCTCTAGGCAATCCTGCTTCAGCAGGGGAGTTGGACTAGATGATCTCTATGGTCCCTTCCAACTCTGAAATTCAGTGAAAAGGGGTTTTGACCCTCCCGTGGTGGGGCTGCCTTCGCTCCGGAGCGAATATGGCTCTTGGTACCTCCTGCAGGTGTGGGCCCACAAGTGGGTGGACCTCTCGGAGCACGGCTTCGGGGTGGCCTTGCTGAACGACTGCAAATACGGGGCATCGGCCCACGGGAACGTCCTCAGCCTCTCGCTGTGAGTGGGGTCGGGGTGAGGAGGGACCTGCAGCAGTGCCTTTGCCTTCCCAGGTGTCTCTGGGATGTGAAGGCCACGCCTGGCCCTGAACGAGCGTTGTTAATGAGATAATAATCTGGTTTTGGTCACTGGCTGTTGCTGGAGAACTTTTGGCTGACTTAATTACAGTTGAGTAAGATACTGTAATTGCTGTGAGTTAGGCTCTCAGGAAAGATCAGATCCATGTTTGCACCAGGTACATTTTCTGTTGCTGGCCAAAACGTAGACTGAAGGGGAGGAGAAAAACAGCAAAGTTATGGATTTATGCAAAGCTGAGAGAAACTGTATTTCAGTTTGAGTCCATCAGCCACAAGTTTCATGGGAAAACACCCTTCAGAGGTTGATTTTTAGCTTTGGGGACGGCTTATCCAGGGTTCTATCTTGCCAGAAACCAGCAGCACGTGTGTTCCCCCCTCAGGGCACAGCCTGGAGGTGGTTGTCTTGTCACAGTGCTCCTCTGGGCTGGGTGACAGAGAGCGCTGCCAAGACACCGGTCTCACCCAGGTCTTGTTGCCACAGGCTGAGGGCCCCCAAGTCCCCCGATGCCACCGCAGACATGGGTCACCACCAGTTCACCTACGCCGTGATGCCTCACTGGGGTGAGTGATGGGCAGAGCTGGGTCCTGTGGGGATGGACAACTCGGAGGAGGATGCTCTGGTGACCCTCAGGGTGAGCACATGGGGCTGTGGTTGTGTAGAGCCTGGCTGGAAGTTGTCTTTCAGGTTCCTTCCAGGATGCTGGTGTGATCCAGTGTGCCTACAACTTGAATTTCCCCCTCCACCCGGTGCCGGCCAGCTCTGCCCAGTGCCCAGAAGCCTGGAGCTCCTTCTCTGTCAGCTCACCCGCCGTCGTGCTGGAGACTGTCAAGCAGGTGAGTCCCCAGGGGCAGAAGCAGGGAGGGCAGATGGGTTAAGCTGTCGTCGTTAAGCGTGGTGGGCTGGTTTTGAGGAACCCACAACAATTTATTGTCGTTTAGACAATTATTCTCTCACCCGATGACCCTTCCCACCCTGGAAGGGGAATTGGGGAGAGAACAGGGAAACCTGAGAGTTGAAATATAAACAGATTTAATAGAATAAGACATTAATAATACTAAAGAACCACTATTGATCCTGATATCAATATAAAATACGCAGATGGGTTAAGCTGTCGTCGTTAAGCGTGGTGGGCTGGTTTTGAGGAACCCACAACAATTTATTGTCGTTTAGACAATTATTCTCTCACCCGATGACCCTTCCCACCCTGGAAGGGGAAGTGGGGAGAGAACAGGGAAACCTGAGAGTTGAAATATAAACAGATTTAATAGAATAAGACATTAATAATACTAAAGAACCACTATTGATCCTGATATCAATATAAAATAGACAAGGACCATCCCCAGCCCGTTCCATCCCAGGGAGCTGTGTGCTCCCAGCAGGGACAGCCCGTGTGGGACCCTGTGAGGGGAGGAAGGGAAGGGCTTAGGGCTCCAAGGCAAGGACTTCTCTGGACCCAACACGATTAAGGGAGAGAGAGAATTTCTCAGCAAACTTTCTAATTTATATTGAATGTGATGTTCATGGTGTGAAATAACCCTGGTGGCAGCTTGGGTCAAGTGCCCAGGTCTCCCTCCTCCTCATCCCCGCACCCGAGGAGCTGGAAAACACTTGAGACCTTGAAAGCCACACTCCAGAGCTGGCTATAAAGTAAATATCTTCACAAATTCAGACACGAGAATATTCTAAAAAGGTGGCTTTGCCAGGGGTTAGAAGAGAAATTAGTCTAGGACACATGGTTTGCTTTTTCCACCGCAGCTGGGTGGTGGGGAGGCTCAGCTGAGGGGAAACCCCTCTGGTTTGTTTGCGTGTCCTGCCAGGTGAGGAGAGGGGCAGGTCAGGAATGCCTGGGCACCAGGCAGAGTGTGTCTGGGGTGGGGCTGTACCCTGGGGTGTAGGGTGGGATGCCCCCGTGCCGTTTGCCTGACCTCCCCTCTGCTGTGTCCCCCGCAGGCTGAGGACAGCCCCGGAGCGGTGGTGGTGCGGCTGTACGAGGCGCACGGCAGCACGGTGGAGGCCTGGCTCCAGACCTCCCTCCCTGTTCAGGAGGCGACGCTGTAAGTCCACAACGGAGGGGCTGGGCCCGTGTGGGGAGGAAGATGAGTGGCTTTGGCCTCACCCCCTGCTTTCTTCCCCAGCTGTGACCTCCTGGAGCGGCCGGTGGCCGGGGGCTGCCTGCGGCTGGAGCAGCGGGGCGTCAGGCTTTCCTTCACACCCTTCCGGGTGCTCTCCCTCCTCTTGGTCCTGAGGCGGTGACCTTCAGGTTCAGTCACCCCGACAGCCTGGAGCAACGCCCTGAGCTCAGAAGGAAGCCCCAGGCTCCCTCCATCCCAAGAGCTGTGCAAGGAGGCAGTGGTTCCAGGGAGGAGCCTTCCTCTCGTTGGAGAGCAGTGCTCCAGAACCACCACCTTCTTCGAGACATGAGTTCCCCGCTCGCCGAGGTGTGGGTTGGGGCTGTAGGGCAGAGCCCCACACGTGCTCTGCTCCATCCTGGGAGGTTTGAGGAGCAACAGGTTCCGTATCGTGGCCTTCAGCTTGTCCACACTCCAGCAGCGAGCGTAAAGACACACACTACAGTCATTCCCCTCTCCCTTCGCCTGCCTCTTGCACTGCCCTTGGGGAAGGGGAGCACAAGTAAAGAGGAGAATTTGCAGGAAAACAAGCTCCAGCCTCTTTTCTTAACTCATTTCCAAATAACTGCACTGATCTGCCTTCTCCCAGGGGACACTTAACCCCTGTTAGTGTCCACACGTTGGTGCTCCTGGACTGGGGAGGCAGAGCTTACCTTCATTTTGAATCATGGACTAGTGTGGGTTGGAAGGGACCTTTTAAAAGCCATCTATTCCCAACCCCCCCTTGCAACAAGCAGGGACATCTTCAGCTAGGTCAGGTTGCTCAGAGCCCTCTCCAACCTGACCTTGAATGTTTTCAGGAATGGCCCAGAAAACACCTCTCTGGGCAACCTGTGCCAATGTTTCACCACCCTCATGGTAAAAAATTTCTTCCTTATATGTAGTCTAAATCTACCCTCTTTAAGTTTAAACCCATTACCCCTTGTCCTGTCGTAACAGGCCCTGCTAAAAACTCTGTTCCCGCTTTTCTTATAAGCTGCCTTTAAGTATTGAAAGACTGCAATAAGGTCTCCCACAGAGGGCACAGGGACACAGCAGCCCCATTTCTCCCCAGGCTCCTCCTCGGGAGGAGGGCAGCGCGTGGCACTCACAGGGCAGGGGCTGCACCTGCAAGATGGGAGAGGAAAATGAGAAGAAGTCGGAGGGTGAGGAGGTGCCTGGTTCGGGGACACAGCAGCCCCCTTTCTCCCCAGGCTCCTCCTCACAGGGCAGGGGCTGCGCCTGCAAGATGGGAGAGGAAAATGAGAAGAAGTCGGAGGGTGAGGAGGTGCCTGGTTCCACCCCGCTGGGCCCTCTCCTGCCCCTTGGCACACCCTTGGTCCCCCACCTGTGTGTTTGAAAGCCATGGGGATGGCCAACCTCACCTCTGCCCCTGCGCCCAGTCGTCCTGCGGCTCCTTCTGGCTTTGACGGGCACCTCGGGCTCGGACACGGCTGGGGCAGTGGTTGCTTTCCTCCTCCTGCGAGCACAGCCCTTCCTCGGCCCATCAGCCTCCTCCTCCTCCTCCACAGCCAGCTCTGGGGGCGATGGCCAACCTCACCTCTGCCCCTGCGCCCAGTCGTCCTGCGGCTCCTTCTGGCTTTGACGGGCACCTCGGGCTCGGACACGGCTGGGGCAGTGGTTGCTTTCCTCCTCCTGCGAGCACAGCCCTTCCTCGGCCCATCAGCCTCCTCCTCCTCCTCCACAGCCAGCTCTGGGGGCTTCGCTGCAGCCTTAGGGTGCCGTTTGGAGGCACGTGAGGTGACCTAGGTGGACATCAGCGCCGGAGTTTAGCCGCAGAAGCGTGCTTGGGACCACCAGCTGATGAGGAACTCCTGGTTGGGAGCCCCACCATGAATTTGGGAGCAGGGCAGGGGGAACAGGACAGCCTCTAGACCCAGCAGGAGCCACATCAACCGCACCAAAGCTCCTTACCTTGGGGGTCGGAGCCTGGGGATCTGCCTTCAGCCGAGAGCGCTTCTTGCGGGACGCCTGCCCTGTGTGGGGAGACGTGCCCAGGTTAGGTGGGGTGAGGAGGAGATGGGACAGAGAGCACCAGCCCGTCGGGGACAGGCTGTGGCAGGGAGACCTTTCAGGGATGCCCATCCTGGGTGACGCCTGAGCTGAGCACTGAGGAGTTGGCACCAGGGTGGAGGAAGAAGGGCTTGAGGGGGACTCCTCTCCCCCAACCCTTGCCAAAACGCTGCTGGGTTGAGCCTCGCAGCCCCAGGGAGAGCACACCCTGCAGCTCTCGGGCTGTCACAGGCCTGTCAGTGCCCCAGGGAGGGGGGCTTTGCTCCTGCCTTTGCCCCCGGGCTCTGCAGAAGGGGCAGGGCGTCCCAGGCTCCAGCCCTCCCGGAGCAAAAGCGAGACCCCCGGGGAGGAGAGAGGACACTCACCTTTGGGAGCCATGGGGCCAGCCTCTCCCTGCAAGGAAGGCGACAGAGGGGTGACTGGGGCACAATCGTTCTGCAAGGAGCAGCAGCAGAACCCGTGCCCCTTCTCCACCCCACAGCCAAGGCAGCCATAGGGAAACGGCCACGTTTCCCTGGGAAGTCGGAGGATTTGGGCTTGCTCTGCCTGCCCTGTGTGAAGGGAAACGGCCACGTTTCCCTGGGAAGCCCGAGGATTTGGGCTTGCTCTGCCTGCCCTGTGCCTCAGGGACTCTCCCCTCAGTCCCTGCTCCTTCTGCAAGGCCCCACCAGGCACAGGATGGGGCTGGCAGAGCCCCTGTTCCTGCCACCACCCCATCTGCTCCAGACTGCCCGCCGTCCCTCAGCCACACGGAGGGTCCTTGTCACCTCCACCTCCAAGGTCACAGCAGTCTGGTGGAGAGGGAGGCCCCCAGCATAATGCTGAGGGAGGGGGGAGGTCTGGGGAAGCAGAAAATGGGGTGGTGTCCCCTTGGAGGGGGTGGTTTGGGGGTACCCAGCCCCCAGGCAGCGACCCCAGGCTCCTACCTGGAACCATATGGTCCTGCCGTTGCGGTCGCGCAGGGAGCTCATGCCAGGCACCAAGTAACACTGCAGCCAGTTCTTGAAAGCGGCGTAATTATCCGAGTTTTCTGGGTCCAAGAGCTTTTTGTCTGGGCAGGGAGAGAAGGAGAGGACAGAAGTGGAGAGGAAGCAGTGAGCACGGTGTCAGGGCACCCTCCCAAGCCTCCTGCTGCTGGGAAGACAAAGCCCAGGCCTCCCTGCCACCCCCAGCTGTCCCTGTCCCCCGTCCCCCTGCCCTCACCCGCTGAGACCACCTCCATGGGCACGGTGTGGCACCGGGAAGGCAAAGCCCAGGCCTCTCCACCACCCCCAGCTGCCCCTGTCCCCCGTCCCCCTGCCCTTACCCGCAGAGACCACCTCCATGGGCACGGTGTGGCACAGCTCCAGGAGATCCGGGTTCTCCCGCATCAGCTTCAGCTTCTTGCTCGGCGTCAGGGAAGGATTCTGCAGGGAGGGGGGGGGGGAAAAGGGGAGGGAAGTCACCTGCCACCCGCCCCAGCCTGGTCGGGGTGTCTCCTCCCCAACAGCCACCCAGTTCCCCCCACTCTTCTCACCCTCCTGAGCTGCCAACGCTTCCACCGAGTGCTCTACCAAGGCCTGTGCTCACCCCACAGACCCCACCGAGGCTGCCAACTGCACATTAGCACATTCCCTGCAGCTACAAAGGCACAGAAGAGGGCTGGCACGCAAGAACGCCCACAGTTTGTCAAAACACCCCTCAAGTGGCACGTTTTTGTCTTCAGCCTCCTTTAAAATAGCGACCCTCTCTCCCCTGAGGCTGCGAGATCAACTGTGGGCTCTACTGCAGCCCTCCCCGGAGGTTTTCAGTTTGTTTTCCTCACCCCTTCCTCTTCCCTCACCCCAAATACACCCGGAGAGAGGTGTAGCAGGGCACACCACCCGCAGGCGTGTGCCCGGGGAGCCGTCACAGCTCGTCAGCCCGGCCACGTGCGAAGGAACGTGGGAGGTTACAGAACTGCTGCACCTCGTGTGCCGCTCCACTGGAGGGGGGGACGTGCTCAGACACAGGGTGTTTACGGCAAAGGACAGCAAAACCCTCCAGGAGAAATATCCCACGCAGAGAGTGTTCCAGCTGTGAGGGGAAAATGCTTGCCCTCGGGTTGGGAAAGACTGGGAGAAGCAAATACCTCCCGACAGCGGTACTGGCTGAGCTCTGCAAGGGGCTCCTGACAACGTTCTGCCCCATCAGAGAGAGGAACCAAACACAAACTGAAAAATGGCCCCAAACCGTGGGCTGGAACGAGCCCAGAACAGCCGACCCAAACCAGAGCTTCGTGCCCAGCTAAGCTGAAAGTAGAGCCAGGGGAAGGCAGCTGGGCTGAGCCCAAATTGAACCACCTCCACCGCTGCTGAGCCCAAAATGGAATCAGAAATGCTTCTCAGCTCAGTCTGGGTCCCTGCACGCGAGGCAAGAGGCTCCTGGGAGCCCAGAGAACTGCCCAGACATCCCACAGGGCCACAGGCAAACAAATCTGTCCGGAAACCTGCCCCTTTCTGAGCCTGTGAAAGCACCAGGTATTCCTCACCTTCTTCCTCCTCGCCTGCTCCTGATCCTTCAGGGCCTCCAGCACAGTCCGAGCCTTTTCAAAGGGAGGGGTCTTCGACCTGAGAAGGTCCATCTGTTACACACCAGCCAGAACTCTCGGTTCTGGCGTTTGCCTGTGTCTACCCGGCGAGGAGGATTGGCCAAGGAGCCATCAAGCTGTGGCAAACTCTTGGGAGACCAAACCTCCACAGATCAGTGGGTGCCCAACCCACCTTACCTGTACAGGATCTCAGCGCGGAGGTAATTCCCGATTCCGTTGAAAAACTTCTGGTTTAAGAGGGCCTCGCAGATGGGCTTGTCAAAAGCCTTGTCCTCCAGGTTCTTCAGCACGTTCTCCCTGCAATGGAGTGCAGATCGTCAGGCATGTCACAGGATCACATGGGGTTGGAAGGGACCTCTGGAGATCAGCTAGTCCAACCCCCTGCCAAAGCAGGGCCACCCAGAGCAGGTTGCACAGGAACGTGTCCAGGAGGGTTTGGAATGTCTCCAGAGAAGGAGAGTCCACCACCTCCCTGGGCAGCCTGTTCATAGAATCATTCAGGTTGGAAAAGACCCTTGGGATCATGGAGTCCAACCATCAACCCTACTCCACAAAGTTCTCCCCTACACCATATCCCCCAACACCACATCTAAACGGCTCTTAAACACATCCAGGGATGGTGACTCAGCCCCCTCCCTGGGCAGCCTCTTCCAGTCTCTGACCACTCTTTCTGTGAAGAATTTCTTCCTAATGTCCAGTCTAAACCTCCCCTGTTTTGAAGCCATTCCTTCTTGTTCTATCGCTAATTCCCTGTGAGAAGAGACCAGCACCGACCTCTCTACAGTGTCAAGTAGTTGGAGAGAGTGAGGAGGTCTCCCCTCAGCCTCCTCTTCCTCACACTCTTCCACCTGGCCATGCAGTGAAAGCAGCCGAAGTGGGGGTGTGGGGGGAGAGCCTTCCCCCAGGCTGGGCGGTGGCTGGCAGGGTGCTCACCTGAAGGCCTGCTTCCACCTGGGCATGCAGTGAAAGCAGCCGGTGTGGGGGGAGAGCCTTCCCTGGAGCTGGGCCGTGGCTGGCAGGGTGCTCACCTGAAGGCCTGGTACTCGGAGAGGACGCAGGGCCCGCGGCCGGGCTGCCAGGCGTCCCCCAGCCGCCATGAGCCGAAGCGGCGAGCGTCGACGAAGCAGAGGGCACGCTGGGGGCTCTCCCGGGTGAGGAACCGGAGGTGGGCATGGCGGGGGAGCTGGGCGACCGGGCACAGGCGGAAAGAACCCGACATGCCGAAACGAAAGACGAGGTGCTGCGGTTCCCCGGGGCCCAGCGGGGTCAGCGTCAGCCGCAGCTCCTTGCCCCGGGAGGTGGCCGAGATACGGTAGGCCTCGCTGGAAAAAGCCACCTCCGGGTTTTTGCTCACCGCCGACCGCTCCACGCCGCCCGAGAACACCACCTCGCCGCACGCTTCGTTGATGTAGCGACCGGCCAGGTGCAGCTCCGGGCCCTCGGGCATGGCCGCTCACCGGAGGGCACCGGGCACCGCCGCCCGGCCCGGCCCGCCCCGCCACACCGCCGCCCCGTTGCCTGGAGACACGCCCCCCTCTCCCCGCCTCCCATTGGCTGCGCGGCGGGCGGTGCATGCTGGGAGTTGTAGTCCCGCCGCGTCGCCATAGCAACCGGCCCGCCCGGCCTCCACGGGGCACGGCCGGCGATGGGGAGAAAGAGACGGAAAACGGCTGGGCACGGTCACCGGTATCTTTAATGGGGCTTCCCCCGGGGCACGGCCCCACCACGGGCCGCCCCCAGCTTCCTCCCCCCAGAGTCCAGTCGGGCCCACCAAGCCCTGCCCCACCATCCCGCCGCCATTGCTCCTTCTGCCGGCGCCTCAGAGAAGGGTGTTCATCATGGCCTGGGCCTGCTTCAGCTCTGAGGAGGGACGGAGGAGGTGGTGAGGGAGCACCAGCACCCCCACCACCTCCCCGGGGGGCCTGGGGCTCCCAACCACCGGCCTCACCTGCCAGCAGCACCCGGAACTTGTCGGCTGAGAGGACCATGGGGACGGCCGCCGGCCTGCCGTGCTCCCCCTCCTGCAGCTGGAAGTTCAGGTGCACGAGGGGCTCGTTGACCTCCTGCAGCTCGCTGGAGCTGAGGGTGTAATCCACCCGCCAGCCCACCGAGCCCAGCCGGCTCACTGGGGGCAGGAAGGTGGCCCATGGTCAGCACCCCAAGGTGCTGGGGGCTTGGCCACCCACCCCCCAACCTCAAGCTCCCTGTGCCGTACTCACACCGCAGGCTGCAGGCCCTCAGCCTGTCCTGGAGGGAGCTCTGCTTCTCCTCGTAGGACCGGCACAACCCACCGGCGTGCTCTGCCCGGCATGGAAGAGACAAGAAGGCCATCTGCCACCCCAGCAACGCAGCCGGAGGGGACAGCGTGGCTGCCATCCCATGACCACCCCAAGGGTCCCTTCCCCTACCTTTGGGCAGCCCCAGCTGCTGCAGCTCGCTCGACAGGGACTCGCCGTCCACGTTGTGCTTGGCAGCGCTGGAGAGGATGAAGCCCAGGACGGCGATGGTGGCCTTCACATCCCCCAGCTCTGTGGGCGAGAGGGAGGGTCAGCTCCCACCCCCGGAGCTGGGATCCCACCGGTCGGGGACGGGACGGCACCGCTCACCCAGCTTGGCGTCCGAGGTCAGCTTCAGGATCTTCTCGTACTGCAGGAGAGGAGAGGACACCAGGTACCACACCGCCACCTTAACACCTCATTACCAACACTAACGCTAATCATTCTTACTTCAGCATTAACACCACCAATAATTAACACCCGTATTATTAGATCTCAGGAAGAAATTTTTTACTATGAGGGTGGTGAGACGCTGGAACAGGTTTCCCAGAGAAGCTGTGGCTGCCCCATCCCTGGAGGGGTTCAAGGCCTGGCTGGATGGGGCTTGGAGCAACCTGGTCTGGTGGGAGGTGTCCCTGCCCAGGGCAGGGGGTTGGAACTTGATGATCTTTGAGGTCCCTTCCAACCCAAACAATTCTATGATTCTATTATCACTGGCAAGGACCTGCCGGTAGCACTGGGAGTACTAAGGCTTGTGTTAAGGCTATGAAACTCTGTAATATTACTAATTAGGCAGGTTTTTAAGGCACTGACGTGGTTGGGGGGGGTCCCCCAGCTCTGTGGGCGAGAGGGAGGGTCAGCTCCCACCCCCGGAGCTGGGATCCCACCGGTCGGGGACGGGACGGCACCGCTCACCCAGCTTGGCGTCCGAGGTCAGCTTCAGGATCTTCTCGTACTGTGGGAGAGGAGGGGACACCAGGTACCACACCGCCACATTAACACCCTCATTACCAACACTAACACTAATCATTCTTACTTCAGCATTAACGCTACCAATAATTAACACCCGTATTATTAGATCTCAGGAAGAAATGTTTTACTGTGAGGTGGTGAGACACTGGCCCAGGTTGCCCAGGGAAGTTGTGGCTGCCCCATCCCTGAAGGGGTTCAAGGCCAGGCTGGATGGGGCTTGGAGCAACCTGG